TAACGGTTACCGTAACGTTAGTACGTAGTAACGTAAACGTAAGTACGTACGTTACGTAACGTAGTAACGTAGTACGTCGTCTACTCTTCTCTCTACTCTTCTCTCTCTCTCTCTCTCTCTCTCTTCTCTCTCTCTCTCTCTCTCTCTCTCTCTCTCTCTCTCATATGAAATAAATAAAATTGCAGGGTGTCATGGTGGAATCCAAAGGGCTGAAGGGGAGAAAAATGGCGATGAAAGAGACTGTGATGAAGAAGAAGACAGGAGCTGAAGATAAAAACCATGTAGCTTCAAGGATTTCAGGTGCAATCCCTTCTGTTGGAAAACATGAGCATGAAGGGAAGGGGCAATACAATGTAAATTGTAAAATGAGTGCAAAAGCTTGCCTTCCTTTTAAGGCAAATGCAGTTGTTGTTCTCACATCCTTTAGTGCTGATTATCATATGCCAGACCACCACCCCCCAAGGAATAACTGAGAGCCATGCTTGGGGCCTTACTGTAGTTTAGTGTCACTAGCTTTTTCCCCTCTCTTACATATGTCCATGCTATAAGCAAGAGAAAGTATAGAATATATAAATGTATTTTTGTTCTTGGTTGTAATGTTTAAGTGAGAGATGAAATTCATATACTTAAAAAGAGTTGTATCTTGGTTGGTTTAAAGTTTCTACTATGTGTTGTACTTTTTGATGCTTCCTTTTTATGTTACTCTCATTTTTTTGTGTTATCGCTTTCAAAATTTGAAATATGGAATCATGGAGGACCACAAATTTGTTGAGGTTTCCATTGTATAACTGCATGTTTGGACAATTATTTTATGGTTCCCATTGAAGGCTTATGTGTTTGGATGCAGGAAGCTATGAGAGTGGCCCAAAGGAATTCTTTGATGCCCAACAAGTGAATAGGAAATCTTTGGGCACTTATGGACATGGGGTAAACTAAAATTGAAACCTCTTTTTATTATATGTTCTCTCTCTCTCTCTCTCACACACACACACATACACACACTAATATAAGTAATTGTACTATTTATGTTGATTAATTTGCTAATATTAAGTACAATTGCTCTCTTTATCCATCCCTTGCAAATATGAGATATTGGAATTGGGTCACTCTCATATATGTGCATATCAACTCAAGAAAGTGAAGTGTTCTCTCAAGCATGAGATAAATCTCTCCCTCCCACACATTTATATATGAAAATACACTTAAATGACCACTTCAAGTTCTTCTGTCTCATTATCTTACATTGGATATCTCTCCAGTAGTCTGTGTTGCTCTAGATTAAAACACTGCTTACCATTCACATTTTTTTAATATTATTTTGAACGTCTAAATTATTTCTCTCAATAAGTTGAATTTCCATTTCTTCTTGTAGAAATGGAGGCATGGAGAAAAATCAAAGGCTTCACTCTCCACTGAGACTGGCCATGTCTCCGAAATTGATGCATTGAAGGCCATGCAAGTAGCTCCTTCAGCTTCCAAAAGTTCAGACTCCATAGACAATCATTCTCCACTATCTTCAACTTCTAGAGGAATGGAAAAACACTCACAATTTGAACTTGTGAATTCATCGAAAGCCAAAGAAGATTTGATAGATGACATCTCGGATATGTTTGCTATGGATTACCATCAACACCCAAGCAAGACGCCTCCTGTCAACAACAACAAGCCGCAAAGTGTAAGCAGTCTTCATCCATAGTAGCCTCAACAACATTCCTTGAACCTCAAAGAACCATTTTCACCCTTTGTTTCTTAGGTTTTCTTTCAAGTATATAGGATAAGATTGTTAGGCATACACTGTTCCTATTTTCTAGGGTTGATACCTATAAAACTTTTCATCGTACAAGAATACCATGACTTTGATTCATCCAACTGGATGGATTAAGCAAATTTGGTTTTAGGGCAATTAGGCTTTCTTTGGGGGTTAATTTCAGTTGCTTATATCTGACCTTTTGTTTATGCCCTTCTCATAAATAAAACAACCCACTGATCAAGTGATGAAATCCATAAAACCGTTCCATCTATTTTATTTCGTGTAGTGAGGGTGCTTGTTTTTACCATTTGTTCCATTTTTTTTTTTAAACTGATTTTTAGGTACATTAACAGCACATTTGTTACAATTTATAGTTACTGTTTCAATTATCCCTTCTTAGAGGTGAAATACAATTTCTATGGCTATATGCATGTTCATGCTTGGCAAGCTTGCTCATGGAGCTAGGACCAAGTTCAGGAGAGAGAGAGAGAGAGAGAGAGAGAGAGAGAGAGAGAGAGAGAGAGAGAGATTCTATGAAGTTTTCTATCTCCATGAGAGAGAGAGAGAGAGAGATTCTATTAAATTTTTTATCTCCACCCACTATCTTTGAAATGTGGAGAACATATTTGATTATATTCAGTCAAAGGTGTGAAACACCAAAAACATTTTTAATTCATAGGGAATGCTGAATATTATTCGCTTGGTTTAAATTTGAGGCCAATATACTCTCAACTTATGCTTGTTACTAGATGGCACACGTGATTCCCATAAAAAAAAACAAAATGTTGATTGAAAATATAAAAATAGATGAATCAGAAAGGGGCTCATTTTCTTGCCATGGAAAGTTTGTTATCTCTCACAAATGCACCCAATCAAAGCCATAGGCAAGGTTACAAGACAATATGAATACCAATAACAGCCAGGAGTCCGGGATTTCGTGGGCCGGGCCTGGCATGGCTCGGCTTTTCCCGGCAGGCGAACCCTGGCTCAAACCTGGCCCTTCCTTTGTATGAGGCCCAGTGGGCATCATGGGCCATGAACTGCCAGGCCCGTACTCACGGTAGGGGCCACAAATGTTGGCCAAGACCGGGTCAGATCACCTGGCTCATTACAACCCCTGCCTGCACATATCTAGTTCAATGATGACCAAACTAATCATAGAAAAAGAAAATATGGGGTGTTTGTTAAAAGGGTGAGGTTTGTATAAGGTGCGCATCTCATATTATACATGTAAGGCGCATATCTAAATGTTGTCGGAAGATGTAGTTCAAGTGTTGAAAAACTTATCAAGTATTGAAAAACTTACAATGGATTAGAAATCCATGTTCAACCTTAATTATGAAATGTAAAATTCCAAAAAGGGTACAGTTTGGCATAACTACAAACACTTCAAAATCTTGAAAATAAACAGTCAAGATGAATTGTTACAAAATGAACTATTTTTAAGACTTGAAATTTTTTTTTTCTTTATACCATATATTTCGAGGCCGAGATGATCAATTAGAAGTTTTTTCAACTTTGGAACACTGTTAGCTAGATTTTTTATGTGTACCTTACTTTTAGATTGCACTCCTATCTAAATTTTTCCCTTTTTGAAAATAACTAGTTTTGTGCCCTGTTGAGTGAAAGATAAAAGAGATTAGATGGGTGGATGGCACATACACTTCTATCAAAGCTCCTTATGAGGGTGGGGTTTAGGTCGGTCCCTAAGTGTGTCTACCTTTCAAAAATCTATCCTGGGGATGCATTAAGGATTCTTCAACTCCAAATAGTTGGAAAAGGCTTTAACGATGCATTAAAAATCTGTAACCGTATTAGTTTGTCTTATGGACTATGATAATCACGAATCTAAGAAAGAAAATGAATTTTGTGCCCTAGAAATGGTCCATATTGTATCATTTTTTATCCAACAATTCATTTCAAAATTTTAAAGACCATTATACGTAAATTGTTTTTGGCGACCAAGTTCAAGTACTTTAGGAAAAAGATTTGCAGAGTGTTTAGAAGTGTTTGGGGTCATACATACAAAAAACTTTGAGAGGCTATGGCCAAGGTCTTAGAGGATGCTACACCTGAAATAATTTCCCAGTAAAACTGTATTGGCATTTTCTTTTTTTTCTTCTAAAGTTGAGGTTGGTGGCAAAAAATTAGTGGTTCTTGTTATGAGATTTTCCAAAGATAGATCCCACAAAGAAGGTAAGAAATTCCAAACTTAAATCTATACGAATCCAAAACTTAGTGGAGCCCTACATTTACTACCTCGTTTTCTCCCTCTTCAACGCTCTCTTAAACCCTAAATCTCTCTTTGTGATCTCTCTCACGGGGAGTTCTCTTTTGTTTTTTTTTATTTCTCTCATCAACTCCTGTGCACGAAAGCTCTAAAATTGGACCAGCTGATTTTTGACAAATAAAAATAGAAAAAATACACAACGGGTAAATAAAGAGAGAAAATACACAAGTGGCAATAAGAAAAAAAGACGAAAGAAACAATGCAAAAAGAACATCAGGATTTTACATGGTTCGTCCTAAAGGGATACATCCACAGGCATGACAAACTGCAATCCGTTATACCGAGTTACATCATAGATAACGGGATACAAAAGGTTTCTTAATCGATAATACCCAGTGAAATAACCCTTGAAACCATTCTCCAACTGACATCACCTACTATTCTTCTTTTCTTTTTACTTCGAGCAACTATTATTAAATGCACCACATAGAGATGCAAGAGCAATGAGAAAGCGGTTTTCTCTCTAAGAAGGAGATACTACCCATAATCACCATAGGGACTGCTTCTCTATAAAAAGACAAACCTCTCTCCATGCGAGGCACAAGCAAACCGTTTCTCTCACTAGAAGCTCAACTATCCTGCTAGAGCATCCTCCTTCTCTACGCAAGAGGTCTTTGCCTCTCTCTAGACGGAAATCCACATTTCCTAACCCAAATATTGCACATATGTTCCTTTCTTCCTCATTATATATATATATATATATATATATATATATATATATATATATATAGTACTACCTAACTAATAATAACTAACTACCTTACTACTACTAGTAACGTAACTATACTACTATATATAATTCGTTAGTTTAACTTAAAGTAAGTA